CCAACCTCGAATTAGCGCCCATCTCGAATAAGCGCCCATCCTAAGGCAGAAAAAGTTAATAAGCGCCCTGCCTCGAATAAGCGCCCACCCCCTCCTCCTCCCTATCAAATCAAATAAGCGCTGACCTCCACCCAACCCACTTGAGTGAATAAATTTTAATAAGAGACTTCCCCGAGGACGGAGTTTTCGTCAGAGTATTTTACAGAAACCTTGCTTTGCTACTTCTTCGCGTTTTGTTAGTAGCATTTATTGTTTTGTTGCAAAATAAACATACTTCACTTGCTGAAAATGGTGAAAATTTAATAAGCGCCCAGCCTCGAATAAGGGCCCACTCTCAAGGCCCCAAAATTTAATAAGCCCCCGGGGCGGTTAATTGAATAAATACGGTATTTAGTTTGACGTCCAGCGAGTTGGAAAAAACCTTTTCAGAGCGATATTTTTAACAACTTAACGTGTCGGAGGATAAAAAGAAAACGTTATTTATTCTCGCCGATACTTGTGAATCTTTTAAGTTCATCCATTTTACAGGTTAGCCAACAAAAAGTGACGGGTTTTTTCCCTACTTTTTTATTTTATTCATGCGACGTTTTGTTTACTGGTTATATGAGGTTGGTTGGTTCTCTCTGTTCTTTTCATGAACAGCTTTGATTTTTTGTTTCTCTCTTTTCCTGACAGTTTAGAATACATTGTATGTCAGCATTGGAAATCGCTTTTCGTGTCACCTACAATTGACATTCGTGCAACGTAATAAGTTCCGCTTCGAGTGTTAATCTGTAGCAAGCCACATGGTTTGTCTTTAGTTTCAGTTTTATTTGTGTAGCTTTTCTTAACCGTGGCGGTATGCGAGTCTTTAATTTTCCCTGTTAACAGCGACAATTACGAAGTAGCTCGACATCCATATTTAACAAGGGACTGCTTGATTTTACTGATCTTTCAGAGAAAAAGAGCCTGTGATGGTTTGCTAGTACGTCAGGCGCGACAAACTTCACTCGCCGGAGGTAAGTAGTTTGGCTTGTCTTTGACTAGTTCGGGAAAGGGATATATTTTTTCTGACCTAAAATGGCAAAAACTACATAATTGCTTGAAGAGGAGCTTATCCTTTTTAGTTTCGTTAAGAGTTACTTATATGTATGAGATGATGGGAACAATATTATGTGAAGAGATTATTTGTTATTTCCTGAATCAGTAACCTGGAGAGTATAAACTATAAATAATTGATGACAAAATGAGAAGCATTTGTAAAAGAGTTGGCAGATTCGTCTATTCTGAAAAGTAAAGCGAATGTAGAGCGCAGACAATATTTCCAAGGAAGCTTTCAGTTATCGCGAACAATTCAATTGTTTCTGCAGCATATTATACTTCAGTATACCTAAATACAGAGCGAGAACTGGAGCGTGGATTCGAGCTAGGATTCAAACCGGGACTTCGAATGAGGGCTTCTTTTGCTTATTACTACAGGTTACAAATTCTAAGTAAAGTGCTGCGAGTAGACCCTGAGCATACTAAATCATAACGTATATGAATCTGTTATAATTTGGCTTACCAACATTAATAATATTTCAAGCCGTAAATTTATTGATTTTTTGGCCATTTACACCTGAATAACCCTCAATCTGGAAAAATGAGAATTTTCTATCCTACAGCAGCGTTATAAGTGCTGCCTTTGCCTTTAAGCAAAGAGCATCCATTGCTTTGCTGCTCTGATCAGAGAATAAATCGATGTTGAAGACCTCAGTGGAACCGGCTTAATAAAGTGAACACGTTTTACTAGTTCCTTGCTCTTTCTTTGTATCGATGTTCCACCATAATCTCAATAGACCTATTTGGCTCAATGTTGTACCCAATTCAAACCCTTTGGGAATAAAAAGTTTTGTTTCAGGAATTCCCCGTTTATCATTTAAATGTGAATGCCACGTTATAATGCAAATCAACACAACGAATCTTCACCCCGAGAGATTTGAATTCAGGGTACAACCCTGAGTTAGCCGAATAGGTATTGTTTGGTCGCTAAGAACTTCTGGCTTGCTTTGTCAGCGCACACTGCACACAAACTCTGCAGCCAAGGAAAGACATTTTTCGAGTTCACTTTAATTTTGACTGTTTAATTTTTACTTGAAAAAAGATCCTGACAGATTTCTTTGCCCGCTTGTTGACCTTTAAAGAGATTAAATGTGTAGATCCTCGCTGTTCAAGACACAACTTATGCAGTTGCGGAAAGAAAGCCTGATAAAACTTGTTTGAGACAGAAATTCTTACATCTACAGGATCGTATATCACTTTTTAACTGGTTAATTTTTTAATGAAACACGCGTTGCATTTTGCCACTAAACTAAATTCCAGTTATATTTAAAAATGTATTGTTTTTGTTCGCCTCCGGTCGCAAAGCAGTATTTCCCGCGCCAACGGCGACCTGCGTTCACAGATTGAGAATCATGTGGTCTTCTCTGTCAGAAGTAATTTGCCACAAAAAGTTCAACAGTTTCTTTCTTTATGGAAACTCACTAATAATATCATTAATCGTACTTATTAAATTGGGGGAAACCCAGAAATTATGAGAAGCGCAACACTCGATCACGCACAAATTCAACAATACAGATACCAACAAAAGCAAAAACTCTGGGCCACATTAAGAATAACTCTAAGCTCTAGGATTCCAAGTTACCAAACCATATACTAGTAAGTAACTTGCCTCAGTACTCTTTTTCTCTCAAGTTGGTATTTGAAGCTCCCGGTGAAGCTTTGCGTTCTGGAAGCTCCGCCGCTTATTTGCCCTTTCGCCAACGAGACTATGAGATGAACTTGTGTGCGAAATTCTCAAAGTTCCTGTTTTCGTAGGACGAGTCTTCCTTATCCTAATCCGAAATTTAGGCTCCCAAAAAGGAGTGTGATGCATTAAACACAAAGACATCAATCTTTAAAGGGACTCTGCGAATGTGGCTAAACATGCTTTAAGTAATGTTGAATAAACGAGCAGCAGTGTTTTATACCCGATAAAACACGTGCTGCCAGTTTATTGAACGACTTCAGAGACATTTCTGGAAAAGCGTGTCTCAGTGGAGTTGATAACAATGACGCTTTTGTGAACGCTGGAAATTGGCATAAGAAAAATATTTCGTTTGACACGCGTTTGGACATTTTCCAGTGTGCGAACGACACTAACCGAAGAGCACATAGTGTCATGTTCCAGAGCTTTTCGGAAGCCTAAAAATGCCGAGGAAGAGAGGAAGTTAATCGAAAATGGTAACCCAAAGTCAAAAAGTACAGTGAAAAAGTAGTCTCTTAAAAATTTTTTCTGCAATGGCTGAATGGTCGGTAAACAAAAATTCAGTACTCGAGCCTTGCGTATTCACAACTGGCAACACTTGGACACTTGGAATTAGCCAATATTACCGCTGAGTCACTGAACTTTTGGCTGATTAAACTGGTGAAAGAACAAAGTTTAATTTTGGGCATTAGTAAATTTACTGGGTGAGTTATTTTGAAAAACATTACACATTCACCCACCATTTCTTGTGTCAGTTGCTGTGCTGATAACTAATTTTCATAAGTCACGTGTAATGACTTTATATCTGATAAAACACCGTACACTAATAAAGGGAGGTTTTATCGATATAAAGTCACTACATGTGATGTATTATGGACTTATGGACTTATGAATTATTAATGAGTTTTTGAAGATCACGCAATGCCCTCTGGGTTACTGCATGACGTCATCGGCATTAATTTAAACTATGACATCATCCTATCTTAATCACCAGACTTTGACGAGACGAGCCCAACTAGTTTGCGACTCACCTGACAGCCTACAAGACGAGACTGATTATCTTAACAACGTTTTTAGTGAGAACAATTACAACAAGGACTTTATTAGACGGAACACTCACAGCAACACTGGTTCCAACACTCAGACCAACTCTGGCCCTGTTACGACAGCGACTATACCGTACACCAGAGGCACCTCTGAAACTATTGCACGTATATTACAAAGTTACAATATACGTGTTGCACACAAACCGATAACCACTTTACGGCGACTGCTTACTAATGTCAGGGACAAATACAAACCCGAGGACAGACAGGGAACAGTATACAAGATCAAATGCTGCGACTGCCAGGCTTCTTACATTGGTGAAACCGACAGAAACCTAGGCACGCGACTGACCGAACACAAACGAGCGACGAGGAATGGTGACGTCAACAATCACATTGCTGAGCAGCATTTACAGACGAAACATCGAATTGATGGGGACTCTGCGACATGTATAACATATTCTACAGACTACTATCAACGTCTTACTTTAGAAAGCTGGTTTACTAACTTAGAATAAACGCCACTGAATCGTAGCCAGTAGTTACCAGCGCCGTACAAACGACTTATTGACGAGATCAAGCAAAACTAACTACGAGAGAATGACTGGAGAACTGACAATTTGACTAACAATAGACGACTGTTTAACTGTGACAATAGACGGATCGAAAAGCACCAATTACTGTTTAAGAGTCTTAAAAGCCAATAACATCTCGGCTTAACTGACAGACGACCGATAACATCGCAACGTAATTGACCAATCAGACCAATAACCAGTCGAGAGTATAATAACATCAACTGACGTGATACAACTCACTTTGACTCTGAAGATTAATACCGCACAGGTTGTCGAAACGTCAGTCACTGACAACAACAACAGTCCTATTCAGGACTACGTTCACCCGGATGATCAAACTCAACCAACTTTTGAGTAAGGTGTATGATGGTAAAAAGTAGGTCACAGACTACTCTCTCAAACTATGTATTTACTATAGATATTATGCATTTGCAGATTCAACAAGTAAAGACTAGGCCAAAAAAGGATAAACCAACACTTATAATCGTGACCTACCCCAGTAAATCTTGATTATCTTGCCTAAGAAGTTTAACTGTTCAGTTAATAGGACGGTAAGAATCTCGTTTCCACTTTCTTACGCTTAAATATTTTTTTCTCAAGGTTAAAAGAAACGTCATGGACAACGCCTCGGAGATTCTACAGACCATTTATATTGGTGCAGTCGTTGCAACTTTCCTTTTAAACACTGGACGTATTAGAAAAGCAGTAGACATCTTTAACGAATGTTTGGTAATCCTTAACGGTAAAGCCCTAGAGACAATCAAAGAACTTACCACACCACTTATCATCTATGTATACCATAAACTTCTTGATGGCTATACTCTTATGCACGATCACACCCGTGCGATAGAATGTGGTAAAAAGCTTCACGAGAAACTCCACAATAGTGGTCAAAAAGAAGAAGAAGGGATGATATTACTAAAACTATCCGACATCTACTATCAAAGAAGCAAATACGAGGAAGCAAAACAATGTTGCGAAAAGGCACTCGGCATCCTGATTGAGACTGGAAACAGTACCATAGTTCGAACATGTTACGCAGATCTAGGAACTGTGTTTCTTTCTGTTGGTCAATACACCAAGGCAGAAGAATACCTTCAAAAAGCACTAGCGATAAGCAAAGAAATCGGTGACAAAGAAGGAGAAGCTACAGATTACGGAAATCTAGGAGCTGTATTCCAGTCTGTTGGTCAATATACCAAGGCTGAAGAATATCACCAAAAAGCACTAGTGATAAGAAAAGAAATCGGTGACAAACAAGGAGAAGCTGCAGATTACGGAAATCTAGGAGCTGTGTTTAGATCTGTTGGTCAATATACCAAGGCTAAAGAATACCTTCAAAAAGCACTAGTGATCAGAAAAGAAATCGGTGACAAACAAGGAGAAGCTGCAGATTACGGAAACTTAGGAACTGTGTTTCTTTCTGTTGGTCAATATACCAAGGCTGAAGAATACCTTCAGAAAGCACTAGTGATCAGCAAAGAAATCGGTAACAAAAAAGCAGAAGCATCAGCGTACGGAAATCTAGGAACTGTGTTTAAATCTGTTGCTCAATATACCAAGGCTGAAGATTACCTTCAGAAAGCACTATTGATCAGCAAAGAAATCGGTGACAAACAAGGAGAAGCATCAGCTTACGGAAATCTAGGAATTGTGTTACAATCTGTTAGTCAATATACCAAGGCTGAAGAATACCTTCAAAAAGCGCTAGTGATCAGAAAAGAAATCGGTGACAAAAAAGGAGAAGCTGCAGATTACGGAAACCTAGGAACTGTGTTTCTTTTTGTTGGTCAATATACTAAGGCTGAAGGATATCTTCAGAAAGCACTAGTGATCAGGAAAGAAATCGGTGACAAAGAAGGAGAAGCATCAAATTACGGAAATCTAGGAGTTGTGTTCCAATCTGTAGGTCAATATATCAAGGCTGAAAAATACCTTCTAAAAGCACTAGTGATCAGGAAAGAAATCGGTGACAAAGAAGGAGAAGCTGCAGATTACAGAAATCTAGGAACTGTGTTTAAATCTGTTGGTCAATATACCAAGGCTGAAGAATACCTTCAAAAAGCACTAGTGATAAGCAAAGAAATCGGTGACACAAACGGAGTAGCTGCAGATTACGAAAAACTAGGAGTTGTCTTTAAATCTGTTGGTCAATATACCAAGGCTGAGGAATACCTTCAAAAAGCAATAGTGATCAGGAAACAAATCGGTAACAAAGAAGGAGAAGCATCAGCTTACATAAATCTAGGAACTGTGTTTAAATCTGTTGGCCAATATACCAAGGCTGAAGAATACCTTCGAAAAGCACTAGTGATCAAAAAAGAAATCGGTGACAAACAAGGAGAAGCATCAGCTTACGGAATTCTAGGAACTGTGTTCCAATCTGTTGGTCAATATACCAAAGCTGAAGAATACTTTCAAAAAGCACTAGTGATCAGGAAAGAAATCGGTGACAAAGAAGGAGAAGCATCAGATTACGGAAATCTTGGAACTGTGTTTCTTTCTGTTGGTCAATATACCAAGGCTGAAGAATACCTTCAAAAAGCACTAGTGATCAGGAAACAAATCGGTGACAAAAATGGAGAAGCAACAACTTACGCAAATCTAGGAACTGTGTTCCAGTCTGTTAGTCAATATACTAAGGCAGAAGCATACCTTCAAAAAGCACTGACGATCAAAGAAGAAATCGGTGACAAAGCTGGTGTCGGAGCTTCATACTTAAATCTGGGAAACCTTTGTCGAAAATTTCAACTTAATGCGAAGAGTCAAGAATTTGCTAATAAAGCACTTGAGATAAGTTACGAAATAGGGGACATTGAAATGCAGTTCAACAGCCACCTTTCCATTGCTCTTAGCGTGTTAATGGCAGGAGGAAGCATAACTGAACTTATGCGAAATCTGTATGAAAGCATTCAGAAGTGCGAAGAAATGCATGATTTTTTAAGAGTGAAAGATCAATTCAAAATTTCTTTTTTTGATAAGCATGTGTCCCCTTACCTTTTTCTTTGTAGGTTGTTGATTTTTACAGGCAGTTATTATGAAGCTCTTTACGTTGCCGAGCTTGGACGGTCCAGAGCACTGACAGACGTACTGTCAGATAAGTATTCTGTGGAAAAAGAGGTATCAGTCAACCCACAGTCATGGATTGGTATTGAGAACATCATGAACAAAAATGCACTTAGTTCTTGTCTTTATGTTTCCTGCTTCGGTGATAATATGTACTTTTGGATCCTCAAGCCAAACAGAATTATAGTTTTTCGACAAACGGGACTTAAAGATAGTGCACATAAAGTGTTTAGAAATCACACATTTGGTGGCTCTCTTGATTTACATAAAGACCAATGCGAAGATCGATCATTGTTTTCATGTGTAAGTCCCCCGCCATCATGCAAACCATCGCAGAGTGACAGCTTCGAATCTTTGCGTCTTATAGAGGAAGAGGAAGACGAAAATCACGACTCTAAACCTTTAACCCTTGCTGATGGTTACAACATGATAATCGCTCCTGTAGCTGAATTACTCCAAGAATCAGAAATCATTATTATACCGGATAACTTGTTGTATCCAATTCCTTTTGCTGCTTTAATGGATGATAATGGAAAGCGTTTATCGGATACTTTCAGGATTCGTATTGTCCCTTCCTTGACGATTCTTAAGTTGATTCAGCTCAGTCCAGAAGATTATCATAGTAAAACCGGTGCACTGATCGTAGGAGAGCCAGAGATTAGTGATGTATACTACCAAGGAAAACTTCTACAGTTAAACCCATTGCCTTGGGCGAGAAAGGAAGCAGAGATGATTGGGAGACTGCTCGGTGTTCAACCGTTCCTTGGAAGGGATGCAACTAAGCAGGCAGTACTGAAAAGCATGCATTCAGTAAGTCTCATTCACTTCGCTGCTCATGGTTATGCCGAACGTGGAGAAATAGCTCTCTCCCCTGTGAGCTCCTGCGGAACTCCACACGAAGAAGACTACTTATTAACGATGGCTGAAATTTCACAGGTTCGACTAACAGCCAAGCTGGTTGTCCTTAGCTGCTGTCATAGTGCAAGTGGTCAGATAAGGGCTGAGGGAATTGTTGGAATCGCTCGTGCATTTCTAGCATCGGGTGCACGCGCCGTGTTGGCGGCACTGTGGGCTGTAGAGGACGAAGCTACTATGTGGTTTATGAATCGTTTTTACGAGCACCTTGTTCATGGTGAAAGTGCCAGTGAATCTCTTCACAAGGCCATGAAGTCGATGAGAGAGAATTGCTTTTCTGACGTCAAGCAGTGGGCACCCTTTATGCTGATTGGAGATGATGTGACATTCAAAGGTTTGTATTTGATATCGTTTTGTAGGTTTTTCTAATTATTTTAGTCCAAATTTGTGAAACTAATTAACTTTTGTTTGTGACACTATGTATTATTTTGAAAAATATTATTAACGGAGTTATACTGAATTTTATTGTGGTTTCTTTATTTGTTGTCTTTTCCAACCCTGTTCATGAAAGTGAGGCAACTGAAGAGAAGGCCGAATTTTATTTTCCGATTTTCATGGAATATTTCTTAAAGCATACTCGGATCTCATTCTAAAATAACTAACTAAAATGAAAATGTAGAAAACGATAGTTGAGATTCCTAAGAGCATACGAAAAAAATTGAAGACATAGAGTAGAGAAGTAAGTGTCAAATAGACTTTTTCTTGAGGGTGTACGTGATGAAAAAAAAAAACCTTGCTTGTTCCAGGCACCGAGATAATCGGTCCACGAAATTGAGATTAGAAGGGGCGAACAGGAAAATAAAACGCCACCGCTCCCCTTTTCTGAGATTCACGCGCTCATATTTTTGCACGCCTTTCACCGCGTCATCCCTACTATCTGAGAGCCTGGAACAGGCCATAAAGAACGCTGTATGTATTTTTTAGTCTTAAAACAGATTAATCCTCAGGGAACCAGAGCCAGCATAGAGCGGGGTATACATACTAATAACTATTACCGGTGAGCGAGAGTTTAAAAGCAGACGGAAAGATTCCCTCGGTACTTAATCTAGCCCAAGCAGCTGCAGGAGCATTTTATTTTGAAACTTTTCTTTTATACAGATATTTTTCTGGAAAATGAGCTAAGGGCAACTCACTTGTCGTTTTCGTGTGTTCTTAAAACTAGGTTCAGTTTTGTCATCAGTCGCCTCTTTTATCATGCTTGTTTCGCGGCGGAGAAGTCGCAAGATGAAATATTTCCCCACGACAGTATTTCATTCGATTCAATTGGGTTTTACAATACGTTTCGCTTTAGTTCCTTTCGTAGTCGCGATTTTGTACCAGAGGAGATGTTGGTATTTTGGAAACCATTGCACGGGCTGCAAGGGATAGCATGGTTGGCTTGATATCAACCTCCTGCCTCAAGATATAATCTGATCAGTATGCAATCAGAAAACGAAGGAAATTAAAATAAAGTAAAATATTCCCACTGTATACATTATTGGCCCGTGAGCGCGAATGAAGTAACTCCGTAAATTAAGTCGTTTTGGGCCTGCGTGCTGGTGGTATGATTCATTGCGGCCCTTGGTTAGATTTGCTTAGTTTTTGCCCGCCTCTTAGCTAGTTCAACGCAGGTCAGTGGAAATGACTTAGAAATTCGCCCCTCCCACCTCCCCTGGTGGCGGTTGACGTCGCTAACCCTCATTATTCGGCATGCCTATTGTCCTGGCAGGCGCGGTTGCCTCCCATAACTTAGTTCCCCCGTGTCGGAACAATAGCTATGCACTGCTAAATTTATACGAATCGCATTTAAGCTGAAAGTGATACAATACGACTTTACTAAACTTTTAGCATATAACTAACTTCCTCAAAGTGTAAAGGTTTGGTATTTTTTTTTCTTTGAATGTGTTAGAGATATAGAGGTAAAATATTTAGCGCAACGAGCAACAGAAGCATGTTGATCGATGGCTAAAATAAATCGTGCAAAGAATACATACGAAAGGGAACCGTCATGATTAGTTTTTCTATTTGCAGGTGCATTTGATAAGAGCAGTTTGAAAGATGGCGAAGGTGCAACGGAAACAAAGAACTTGTAAACTGAGAGGAAACATGTCGTTTAAGTTGACAACTACTGTCACAGCTGTACATAAATGTATATACCCAGGATCGCAATGAAGTAGTCTTGTCTGAGACCCGCAAAGAGAACAGGTGATAACTGTACTTTTAGAGCAGTCGAAATTTTGATACGTTACAGGCGAAGGTTAAGCATGAGCAGAGCGCAGAGTACAAGGAGAAGGGGTAGGCAGGACCAGTTAGTCGTCCTTAAAGTGGAGACGTCAGAGTTGTATACACTTTCTGAACCTACATCTACTATATTAGTCAGGACTTCTTTCGTTCAAAGTGACTTCTGCTACTCGTTAATCCTGTGCCTACGCTTGCTTCAAACTTACATGTCGTACATGAACACGAGTACAGCTTCGGTTTGATAAATTTGTAAAGGTACTGAACTTGACGAATGTGATGAAGTGCCACATAGATATCTAAGCTAAGAAAAGGGAAGCAAGTGTTCTCTGGAATTAAGTGCTCTTTGCGAGGGGCACCCAACGACGGTTTCCTCCTAAATACATTGAAAACACTTTTTAGGTAATCAAGAATACTTTTAGATCTCTAGAAATACATTCCATATCTGCTCGGTCATCTTAGGGATGCTTGAGTCTTTTCGAAATTACAAGGGCTTCTGTATTATTTGCTCGAAAATTTCAGAATGCAATTTAACGTATTACGAAAGTGAGAATTTTTCTGATTTCTCTCTCCATACATTTTTTAATCTGAAAATAATTTTAGGTTTCCTTTTCTCTACGAAAAACAGCCTAACCTAGGGAGGGAAATGAGAAAAATTAAACTTAATTCAGAAAATCGTAGGGAATGTTTTACATAAGCTTCAAAAATTGTACATGAATGGAACGGTCTTCTAGAAATCTTTAGCTGTCCTTAAATAATAGAAAATTCTACAGTCTGTAGGCACTCTTCTTCGAACAGATATTTTACAGAAAATCGTCGTTGGGTGCCTCAGCTTTGCGTCAATACGATACTTACGGTATTGCTTTTAAGTTGTTTTTTATTTGCCTAAGATCATTCACCACCCCGATGCTTTAGCGGAAAGTTCTAAATCAATTCAGCATGATGGCGAGTCTTAGAGGACACAAACAAAGAAAATGAATATACATGTTTTTGTCCACTAAGACTCGCTATCGTGCTGAATTTTCATATATTGAAAGCAAGAGAGGATAAAGGGGACAGAGAAGGCATCCCCCATACACACACTTTTCCATAGGTAATTCGTCTCGAGTTATTTTTAACACCACAGATCTCAAGGGGGATTGGACAACAGCCAATCACATAGCGCGAATGTGTTCCGCGTGGATGACCCACGCTCACAGCCACGCGTCCTTCACGAATTGACGCAGAACAAAATGGCGGAAGACGCGGAGAGCGATATTGCTATTCGTTTTGTCGACGAAAACGACTACAGAGAGATTTCTGCTAAAGCTGTGTCAGCAAAACGGAAATTAAAAAAGAATCGCCCCTCCTCTATTGTATAGAGCTAACAGTACAGCAGGGAAATCCTTAACACACTGAATATTCTCTCAGGATCATTTATAATTTACAGTTTGAAGAGAGCAATTTCTGGTTTGATATTTATTCTTTTATTAGTCTTTTATTATTCAACAACAATAACACTTGGCTACCTACTTGCTTTATTGTACAAACGACCGGTTTCATTAGACCAGCGAAATTTCTCATTTTATTAAAGCACTGAGGTTACGACAACTTCGAGTTAAACTGATTTCACGGTTTGTCAAAGAGGCCAGCGATTCCCTTTTCCCAGGTGAGCGCCGACTAATTTCGCTTCAATATTCAGGAATGCTCTCGATCTCTTTACGCGTTCATTGCCTTTCGGCCGGCATGTTTTGCACGGCGTTTAGTCATGCGAAACCTCCACGAAACATCCACGCAGCGCACGAGGTAACTTTATCCCGATTCTAAAAAGAACTCGAGACGAATTACCTATGGAATAGGGTGTGTATGGGGGATGCCTTCTCTGTCCCCTTTATCCTCTCTTGATTGAAAGACCTTCCATTAGTGGCTGATAAGTCTTAACAACTCGGGCGATGAATGAGATTGAATTCTTCCGTTTTGAATCAGGCGTTTTCCAATTCTCTGCCCTGCCCTGTCATACCTGCTAGGGCTGATCTTTTTTTTTTTTTTTTTCAAACGTAAACTGACACCATTGAATGGGTGGGTGTTCACTAGAATTTGGAAGTAGGGATTTATCTGAGTTGGTCCTCTTACAACATTATGAACCCGGTTCAGTTATGCAACGCACTTGAGATCTTTAGAATATCGGCAAATTCTAAAGTCTTTCCAGGTATGTCATTCTGGTTTTTTTTACCAAGGAGCCGGCCTATCAATCACTACAGCGTCTTTGTGTAATTTTTTAGCTTATTTCCATTAGAATTTTACCCCTCTGACTAGAGTTCTGTTATAAATAGTGTAGGTTAGCTGTTTTCTGAGCTAAAGCGATCATCAAATAACTTTGTTTTCAATAGAAGAGGCTACTTAGTGAACACGGTTAGTTATTGAGAGTAGACAGACGGCAAATTGCTGTTGCTCGAAATATCTGAAAGTTTAAAAAATAAAAAATCTAAGCGCCGTAACTGTTCGTCAGTAGGACGATGTGACTTTCACTTTCCAGTGATGAGTCACATAATAACAACAAAACATGACCAGCTACAATATTTTAACCTGATTCTGTCAGGACTTGTCGTTAGTGTTCCCCTCTGCCTCAGTGAAATAATTAGCAGCAAGAGCCGAATCAGTTCATTCTCTTTTGTTAATAGGTGGAATGTTGGGATGGAACGCTGGATGTAAAATCTAGGAGAGGGACTAGTACTGATTCCTCCGGGATCGGTCCCCAGTCGTCTCACCAGTCTCTCCCCAGCTCGCTGTTAGAGAGTTTAATTATTAAAGAGAGAATTGCGCAGGAGGTACGCACAGGAGAGCTGGGAAGGAAGACGCGGGAAGACGATGACCTAATCAATTAGACAATGACTTTGGCAATGATATTTTGTCGAGTTCCAGTGCCAATCTCCCGCGGCCGATTCGCGACTGCGTATAAATGATGGGTAGGGGACCACTAAGGACAAGCCTCCACAGCGGTCACACGAGAAAACTTTGGAAACCTAAGCAAAGTATTGCAACTTTGAAATCAGCCTTGCTTCTTTCCGTTGTTCAGATATTTTAATTTATAGCTGATTAGATCCTCTATTTGGATCCGGTGCTTCTATTTTGTAACGTTGGTCCTTGCTTTCAAAACTGAATTCAAAACTGGGGTTGCTAGTTTTATTTCACTGGCTGCATACAACCTACAAGTACCCATGCGCTGTTGATTTACTAACTGTTTTGTAAGTTTAATAAAAACGTTAGAGGTGTTTAAGAACTTAAACAGGTGATACCGTTCGTCAGCAAAATTTACTCCGGTGCAAAGCGTTTTCAACGGAAACAAGCTCAATATTTTGCGAAAAAATGAAAACTTTGTTAAATTAAGTGGTCATTTTGTACATCCTTGCCCATCTTTCAATTTAATGACGAACGACATCCCAGACAAAAGTCATACGTCGCAATATTAACACGATGATGCGACTCAAAATAACCGCCATTTTTTGTGCGGGCATGAACGCGCGCACAACAACAACATGGGCTCAAAACAACCTCAGAACAGATGTTGTGACTGTTTGTCCGAGAAATAAACGTCAAGCAAACTCTTGGAGATTCAAGACTAACAGCTCCATTTGCTTGTGTTTTTGAACGCCTCAGTTAAACAGTTAGCAGTGGGACTGATGGGAACGCTGAATGTGAAATCTGGTTGAGGCACTGATTACCAGTCCCAGTCGCCTCGCTTGTCTCTCTCTTTTATTAAATATTAACGGAGGAAGCGCATAGGATATGCGCACAAGGAAAGATGGGAAATAAATATTTCTTCTCTCTTTCCCCTTCATCGAATTTCCGTGCCAGTCTCCCACAGGTCGATAGTGCAATGACGTTTTAACAAGATCACATTTTTCCGCGTAATATGAGAGCTAAGGAAAACGCGTTTTGGAGCGACACACGTCAACCCATCTCCCAGAATGAGACGACACATCCTGGACCTTTTAACCGGTCAAACAAAAGGTAGGCTTGTTAGGGACGCACGTCAACCCAGAGGGGCTAACTGCCGGGCCTTTCCCCTATGCCTTAACGCGAATCAATTTGGACTGCTAAGTGTCCCTACTCCTATGACGATTTGTCTGAAAACATGGGCAAAACGGCTGGACAAGAGAGCAAAAATGTACACATCCAGTTGGCGTCGGTCGCTCGCTTGTCTCTCTCTTTTATTAAATATTAACGACGGAAGCGCATAGGATATATGCAGGGAGGAAGATGGGGAATGAATCTTTCTTCTCTCTTTCCTCTTCACCGAATTTCCGTGCCAGTCTCCTCCTGGCCGATAGTGCAATGACTATTAACAAGATCACATTTTTCCACGTATTTTGAGAGCTAAAGCAAACGCGTTTTTGAGCGACGCTAACAACCCATTACCCAGAATGAGACGACAAACACCCGGGACCTTTTCAGTCGTAAGCGCGAAAATTCAAGTTTATTCTTAACTCCAGTGGGTCAGAAAAAAGAGAAAATGGCCGAAAATCGGCTACCAGCAGCAACCTACATCAGGTGTTTTCGACGCACGTCAATCCCAGCGGGGCTAGGTGAGGCCTTTTCCCCATACCCTAACGCAAACAAATTTGCACTGCTTAGTGTCTCTACACTGGTGACGATTTGTCTAAAAACATTAACAAAATCGCTGGGGAAGAAAGCAAAAAGGTACACATCCAGTTGCCGTCGGTCGATCTCAAAAACGCCTTTGCTTGCCTTCAGACGACTTCAGAAAGAACAAACTTGTGGCGTGTGGGCGCGGTAGGCGAGTGTGTCACATAGGCCAGCATACTGTTTGACCACATTTTGATGTCTTGTTTGATCTATAACTGAAAAGACGCAAGAGAAGAGACAACTTTTGCAGTCAAATCTTATAAACGACGTTTTCTACGTGAGTTAGCATGCTGATGAAGTAGATGTAAACAAAATGGGTCGGTTATTATAACGAACTCTAATATAGACCGCGGCTTAGGAAGTGTTTGGAACTCAAGATCTCTTCCTTAATGGGTTATTTTAAGAAGACAAATGCCTCTCTAGTCTACGCCATTTGCTTTCTTGAAACTGTTCTCGAAACATGCACGGTGTTAACATAGAAGCGTTCGGCAACTGAAAATCGCTTTGAACGCGGTTTTGTCAAACACTGGCTTAACTCCGTTTAAATAACTGGCCCAATGTGTCTTGAAAAATGGAAGGAAATTTTGGTGGATTTTTTTCCTTCAACTACTCAGACGAAGGCACTGTAGCACGCCAGAAAGGAATCTCTTTTTCGAGCCTTTCGGTTGCTTAATCTGTGAAAAATCTCATCCTTAAAAACCGAGGGGCAGTTATGGAATGCCGTTTGTATCAAAAATACTTCCTACCATATGTAAACCTTTACATTAAATATATAAAACATTTTGCTTTATGAATAAAACTTCTTAATTTAGTATTAAGGTTATAGTGCACAATTAAAACTTGTTACAAAATATATAAAACTTGTTGAAAAATATAAAACTTTTCACGATATATAAAACTTGTCAATATATATATGCAAGGTTTACAAGTTTTATATATGGTGAAAAGTTTTATATTTTTCAACAAGTTTTATATATTTTGTAACAAGTTTTAATTGTGCACTATAACCTTAATAATAAAATGAAGAAGTTTTATTCATAAAGCAAAATGTTTTATATATTTAATGTAAAGGTTTACATATGGTAAGGAGTATTTTTGATACAAACGGCATTCCATAGGCAGTCCTGAAGCCGTGCTTGTAAACTTTCGCAGTCTCGTTTCTCCACTGAGACCCAACGGAATGCACTGAATTTCTGAGAATGCATGTTGGACAGGTTAGCCAGAGATTTCATCGGCCTAAACTCCCTTGGACACCGTATTAAGCTTACACAGTACAGTATTCTTTATTGCTTCCTAATGGTTTATGAAATTTCTAGTAAGTCTGTCAAAATTTCTGCACAGCAAATGTTCATGAAAGTGTTAAAGTCTCTTCAGTTTTTAAGGACAAACAATTTCCGAGAAGCGTGGGTAAGAATCGAACGCGAATCGTAAAATATGCAGTCCACCACCGATAGCACACTACGCCACTGAGGATTCACTGCTGAGAATAGGTTTGATTTGAAGGTATCTTAAAGCAAGCCTAATCCTAACTGGAAGCAATTAACCGTTTTGAGTCACTGCTTAACATTAGTCACTAATTTCAGTGCTTAAACCCAACTAGTATTGTCAGTGCTTACCCTAATCACTATAGTCATGCAGTGCTGGAAACTGGACCAAAAAAATTAAAGCAAGAAAAACTTTTCTGTGACGTAAGCAACGTGTCTGTACTTTAACGACCAATTAAGCCACGCTTGCACTAAGTATTTTGTGTTAAGTACCTATAAAACGTAAACTAAGTAACAAAAATAGATGTTAAATAGATAGAGCTCGAAACTGGACAAAACAAATTAAAGAAAGAAAATCTTTTCTGTGACGTAAGTCACGTGTCTGTACTTTAACGACCAATTAACCGGAAATCTTTGTTCCTGACAATGATTTTGAACCCCTGTGAGTCTGTACTCCTTTAGTTCGATTCAGTTCAGTTCAGTTTTATTTAGCCAAAATAAATTACAACGTAAGAATACGTATAAGAATTGTAAGTTGGCAAGGGAGCCCAGAAGAAACCAGAAGGCTTATGAAGCCTGCGCTCCCCACTCACAAAGAAACAAGTAAAATTAAATTCGCGGAGTAATGCATTATAAATACATGTAGTAACGAAAAACTAAACAAAGACTAATTTAAGTTAAGAATTTATTAACAAGAAAGAAAAAGTTTTTTTAACTCTGGATTGGAACGAATATAAGGAGGGGGCATCACAAAATGAAAGCAATCAGCTTGCTAAAGAAGACAACACCTTAATAGAAAACAGAAAACTTTCTCATGCTGGTACGGCAGGAACGAAATGAATATAAAATCTCTTTGAACTACGCGTGTTATAACCATGAACTTGATTAATACGTAAAATGGATCTGGAAAAGCTGGAAGCAATTGAAGTATTTTTTAAAGAAAACTTAAATTTCCCGAGATGCAAAGAATAGATGTCTTCTAACTTAAGGATCATAAGATTCTTAAATAGTGGACCAGTGTGAGCTTCAAAGCCCTTCTTGCTGATAACTATAACAATGCAGTTTTGCAATAAGACTAGGCGCCTAAGGTGAGTAGGGTATGTCGAACCCCATACTAGAATTATTGAAGATAAGAATAGACAAGTGCGTAAAGTACACAAAGCTGTCCTCCTGTCCTTTAGGTTATTTCTTTTCTTTTTTAAAAACATTCATCCTTATGATTCAGCAAGTCACCTCCATTAATTTTCAGTCCGTTTATCTGAAGATATTCTTTATCTAAAATCTGTAAAGTAACATACTGCGCTAGTGTAGGCCTATCAAAAACGATGGTATCTCCCTCGCTAACAAATCCTCTTGCTGGTCCTTCAAAGTGTCCACACTGATTGTTAACCTGAAGTTTTTTGTTGCTATGGTGTCCTATGTCACGTGCTGTGAACCCATCAGGCACAGGTGTCATTCCAGCTCTGACTTCTACATTCCTTAGTCTTCAAGCCCAACAGCCATTTTTACGATTGATAATGGTCACGGACGAAATCAAGACTGCATCTCAAGGTCGGAGTGAAAGTAGAAACAGTCGTTATTCGAAACTTTACCATCAGTTGCAAATTTGGGCCCCCAATTATGTAAATTATTCGTGCCGTATACTGAAGATCCTCGAGCTTCGAAGCCCATTACGTCGTTCGGCGCTGTCAGCCACTGCTTTAGCAGATTGAATTTCCATTGCACCTGTGTCATAATCATGACTCGCTCTTGCTGCAAACGGACAACGTCATTTATCATGTTCTTGGAGAAGGTATCCAGACTATTGATATTTTGACGCCCAATGTTTTTAACGCCTGCTTCAATTAGTTCTCTTACTTCCAGTTTGTAACCAAGCCCAATCACGTAGCCATAATTCGACTGATCAATGTGCTTGATGATGTAATCTATGCAAATGCCGCGCACATTCGTCAGATTGATGTAGTCAGCAAACATCAGAACATTTTCAACATTCCTTTCCATGAAGTTCACTTTTTGAGTAAACAAATATTCAAAGAAAATCTTGATCTCATCATTTGAAAAATTAACAAATTTAGTTTCACGGCAATTTGAATGGAAGCGGAATAGAGCTGCGAAGTAATCACATTGAGAAGCAAGAATAAATTTGTGTGATTTAACCTCCAGGTCATCTTTGTTCCGGATGGTAAAGTCATAAAATTGCTCTTCTTTCTTTTTCTTGTGATAGGCTTCTATGTTGTTACAGAAGTTCGTGTGACGAGTTCCTCCTGCCTTTCTTGGTTACAAGGATTTATCCCTGAAGCTGAAAAAAAAAACACCACCAAGCACTAGATCAACTCCGATTTAAATGAGGCCAGTCTGGACTCTTCAACTATCCCAGCTGAGGCAAATTTGTTTGCTCAGAGTCAATTACCATTATAGCAACAGCTTGAATTAAACAAGTCAAATTACAACTCACCGCACAAGAAAGAAAATTGCTTTGAGTCACTCTGAAATACTGAACTGAAACGATTAAAAAACTTTATAGATTCTGAAGACAAGTCTTGGTATGGATTACCTATTCGGAAATTCTTTGAGCAGTAGACGTGTATACCTCCTTATTATATGAAGAATAATGCACAACGGCTTCCCTCACCTTCTTTATAAAGCTGACAACCACTGTTGTGAGAAAATGGAAACAGTACGGTTGCTGCTGTCAGTAATTACAAAAATAGCATCATAAAATTTGTGAGTATCATGACATAGTTCGCGGATGGTGCAAACGATCACATCATCCCCACCCTTCCACCATTACCCCTTCCTCTTCATAATTTCAGGAATATCGAAGCATCGGTAGTGAAAGTTGGACAGTTAGTGAGTTGGAAAGTTATCTGAAAATGGAAATATCTCTCTAGCCTTGATGAAGTCATAAGTCGATTGATTTGTCATGACTTACGATGGCTGTCATCTTGGATTCCACCGTGTTTTTATTTTTTTCAACTCGAAAATAGGTAAAATGCGGGCAAAAAAGCTGAGTAAAAATAAGCATTAAGAGAGTAAAATTGTCAGGATAACGTCCTACGTTGTAAAATTAACGTGATTACCCAAAATAGCCGCCATCTTGGATTATTCTATAGTCAGCCGCATCTCGAAACAATGCATTTTGTGACGGCATGACTCACACAGCGACAAAATAGTTAGAACTGGTCGAGCTCGGGAACACGTGATGTAAATAAGCGTTTGAGAGATCATCGAATGTAATCGGATCATTCATTCATTTTCTAGTTCGGATAGGTTTTGTGTCGTCGGCATATCTCGGAAAAGTTATTAGGAGTCTTGTACGGAAAAATTATCTAAAAGTCGGAATAAAGAGTATGTTCATTTTCAATACTGTCTAATGGAACGTGTTAATGACTATCTTACATTACCAGATTACATTATTTTCTGCGTAAATAGGGATCTTGCATTTTGAGCTACGCAAGACAACCGGAAGTGATGCCTTGATGTTAACAAAGTGTATCGCTAAGGGACGGACCATTAAAAAACTAATCGAAGAGGGCGGGCAAAGCACAAAAAAAATATTTGCGTAAGCGTAAGCGTAAATGAAAAAAATTCATGCTCGCCAATTAACCCTAAAAAATATTCATGCTACGGCCTAAAAAAATTCATACAAGGAATTTGATAACGAAAGAAAATTCCTACGGCTCAAAAATTCCCCACCCCCCACCCCATAACTTTTCTAATGGGCTGTCCCTAAGTGTCTCTATAGAGTCGATTTGTCCGGAAATCTGAATAAAATTACTGTCCAGGAATGCAAAAAGTCCTCGTCCGGTTGCCGTACTTTCCTCAAAAACGCCTTTCCTTACAGGCGACGTCAAAATGTACGTAGTAAGTCAGAAACAAAAATGTGACAAGCGTAAGACGTAGGCGAGTGTGTCTCCAATGGTTTGACCACACTTTGGTGTCTTATGTGTAAATATTTGCATAATTTGTGACAATCAAACTTCATTTCAGTTTTTTAAATAAAATGTTTGTATGAGAGGATGTTTACTTAGCTCGTTTTACTTTCCAAAAAAGCAAAACAGGTTCAACTTACGTTCGTTTTGAGTCCTTAATATTGGCGAATTGACTCTTTTCCAAATAAAGATTTTGCTAACATTGTTTTATCCTTTTCCGGCATTACTCGTTTTGGACTATTCCTTGTCGGTTCCTTATCTCGACACAAAAAATGCATACGTTAAGGTATTCATATTAGACATTTTTAAAATCGGTCTTCACTAGCATCCAGTTTTGAATTTGTTATAGTTTTTGTTTCTTGGAATGCAGGGAAAGTCCCAGATTCTTCCACATCGGCTAAAGGCACGAAAGGGCGGCTGACTTCGAGGTAAGAAGTTGGTTTTTAAAAATAAACTCATCTTAGCTAGCTTACCTTTTTCTATTTCATATATCTTACTTGAGATCTTAATTTTCGCACTAAGTTTCCTGAATTGCGGTTGTGCATAACAGACTCATAAAACTCGACCTCGATTGGTAGGGATCGTTTGTCGAGTGATTTCAAAAGTTCGAAGCAACTCTTTGAAGAGCTCATACAATCAAACAGTTTTGCCTTTACGAAATGGATTCCCTTATATAGAAAAGCTTATAAATATTCCCAGTTGATACAGCCATGTAACGCCGGGCTTACATCTATTTTATACATGATAATTGAACTGCGAATTTCTTTCTTTTTATCGTGGTATCGTTATCGCACGTCAGGCTTTGATTTCCCTTGATTTCTGATCTTAAAATGGGGAGAGTCCTGAAGCGTTATTCACCGTACTCTTATAGATAGATTTCCTGGTAAGCTCTTGGCAGTGTAACATACATGTATTCTTTCACAAACATAAATCATTTCCATTTTTTTTTCTAATGTTTGTATTGGAGCATGTTGGTCCTCTTCACTTTCTTGGAAAGCAAAACAGTCCCAAATGCATGTCGTTCCTTTTTGCAGGGTTAATATTGGAATAGGTTTTCAGAGCGTAACTGTTATCACGTCTTGGCACCGCTACATTCGATTGCTGGGTTCGTTAACCTTGCACAGCGAAACAGCCGTTGAGGTCTTCATAGCAAGTCAGGCGCCACAAACTTCCTCGGAGGAAGGTGAGTAGTTTGACTTCCCGTTAATACCAAGAAAAAGTCCCAATATTCCCTTGCGGTCAATAAATCCCCGCGATTTCTATATATTTTCATAAGCGCGCCTGACGTTCTTAGAAGAGAAAATAGAGGATACGGGAACAGACTAGCCTTTCCAAGTTTTAGAGATTTCTAGGCAATATTTGCTTCTTCCAACAATAATTTACAGTATCTCTAAACTCTTTCCATGTTGATTACATCATTTCTCAATAATTTACCTGTTTAGCACTTAAGAGATGACAATACTTTGCCCAACTTCGTTCAATGGTTGATTATTTTTCACATCTAAGGGCCATTTATGTGAAGTTTTCGTGTAATGAAGTCCACTTTTGGCTTCCACTTTTAGACCAGTATCGAATTATTAAAATTCATAACTGGCTCAGAGGTTGAGGAGAGCAAAAGGAAAAATCTCGCATTGAGATTCAATGATGGGCAATTCATTAATTTCGTTATTTTTCCCTAAGCCTTGAAATCAAGTATGAATTTTAATAATTTGCCAGTTAAGGGAAAGTCCCAGGTTTTTAACCCGTTGTACAGTAATCGCCAAGGCGCAAAAGAATACGTTAGGTAGTAAGGAAAGCCTGCTTGGTAAATTTGGAGCTGACCTAAAAACTACGTTTGTCCATACTTTCATTAGAGGATTCTAGTGAACATTTTCC